ATGGGTTAGCCTGGTGACGGGTATTAAAGAGGGCACGTACTGCATGGAGCACTGGGTGTTATACACAAACAATGAATCATGGAACACTACATCAAAAACTAATGATATAATGTATGGTGATGAACATAATAAAAAAATACATACATACATATATATACATATATACACCAATACTCAAGAATCTACCTATACCATGTATACCAGAATCCCTACAGGTGTAGTTGGGCATGAGTATTTTTTAAGCAGAGTGTGTTTACGTAAAGGGCAGCTGCTTCAGATTAACTTAGTAGGTCTCAGTGCCTTCAAATCACTCACCCAATGATCACATTTTCAGTAGCAAAGAGATGCCCAGATCTATTCTCATTTTATATTTTAAATATTTTCAAAGTATGAGAGTCACCATAGTTTTCAAGATACGTATTCAAACATAAATAGACACAAAAATGTTAAGAAATCTCTAAGGACAAATGAAATAACCATTCTGATGATGCATGAAGAATACTCAAATCATACAACCTTAATATGGCATTTAAAGATCTTAACAATCCAGGCCCAAACTATTTTTCCAGTCTTATTTTTTTGGCCTATTAATGACTAGCTTGTCGCAGTCCGTATCTCTCTCAAACACAAAAACTCTACATGTTCAGGCCTTACTCATAGTGTTTACTGACTGACTTGATTCCATTACCCAACTCCCTTGGCATGACTAATCAACTCAGTTCCAAAAGTTGTAGTTTAGGGAAACATTCCCAAATCAAGACATTACTTTTATTTCCAAGGCAAAAATTGATGTAATTGAAATTCTTATATATATAACATCATACTTATGATTGGAATACTGAAAACCTAAGATGAAAAATAGCAAAGGAAAATTCATACCAGATCAAGTTCAATGTAGGAGTATGCTCCATATACCTCCATATAATGCATAATTAAAAAAGCAGGAAACCAAATAAACTTAGTATCTCCTTAATGTTCATGAGGACTAATGTTAACAGAATGCCAATGTTACTAGTATCCTTTGTGTTTTATGTCATTCCCCAATACCTAATTCCTGTATTGTCACATCTAAATCTCTAATTCGTAATTGTCCATAATGTATCCCTATCCACACATCTTCTGATTTTATTTCTCAAGTCTCTTCAACAAATACTAATGCTCTTCTGAAGGCACACACACAAAAATTAACCATTGTTCCTACCACCTTGGCTTTTAGAATGGTGTCAACCACCACCCCCAATCTACAGGTCTTCAACACTTTATATAACCCCTAAAACAATTTATATTGTTAATTCATTTATGTATGCTTACTGTATCCTATCTTCTATTAGTTGGTTTGCTCAAGGGAGACTTACACATCTTTTTTTAAGTAGTTTTGCCGTAATGCCCTACAATGCAAAGCCAAATGGCAAGTGTGCACTAGGGAAATAATGAAGAGAACATGGAAATGCTAATTAAGTCATATTTTGTCATTTGGCAAGTTTGGCACACAAACTCAAATATAATACTGGACATGTTCCCATATGCCCTGACAATATATAAACTTAATTCTTTGAAATCAACAGAAATGTCACCCTAGTATAACCCAGACAATTTGTAGGAAGGTATTTTTATTTTGTTTATCAAGGGGGGACTTTGACAACATGTTTGTTGTAGTTACTACCGAGAGATTGTTCATTACAAAACAGAAAAATAAATGGTTCTTACTAAATGGCTTTTGACCATAATAGACAAAACTTTAACATACCTGTCATAATAATCTCGTTGAAAGTCATAGTCCAAGTCAAAAGAGGAGCTGAAAAATAAATACCGAAGAGGATTAATTTGGAGCTGTTGATGTAAATTCACAATAGCAGATGGGAAAAACAAAACCAAAAAACCATGCAAAACCAACCATAACAAACAGATCTAGAGATTAGCATGGAATAATCCCCAATCATTCAAGCAACAAATCACTAAAATTCCAATCATCTTAGAAGCCACTGGACATGCAGCAGCTAATTTTGCAAATTTAGCCACAAATCTACAATTTCAACATAAAACATAATAGCTAATATAAGAACACTGAAAAATACAATAGTAAACCAAACATTCTTATGCTACCCTCCTTCCCTTTCATAGTTCCCAGCTTATACAAACTAAACAACTCTCGAAAGATTTCACTGTATGTTAAAAATAGCAAACTGCAGTAAGTAAAAAAATCTCAGGGAATTCTAGTAATTCTCTGGGAAATGGGCGAAAAGGAGGTATACTAATACAAAATTAACAAAGCATCATTTTTACACAGATAAAACATATTACAGTTAACCCTCCCCACATCCAGAAAACAGATAGAGAAGATGCCCACTGATGGACACAATGCAGTTATAAATAATAAAGTTCCGGACCTGAGTAGAGGGGACGGAGAAGGGTGTTCTGGTACTGACCCGTACATCTCCGCTGCAGATCGTTTCACACCTGCTTTTCCTCGGTTCACTTTTGGCTCTGCAGCCAGATTAATATCTGAAAAAACAAAAATAAAGACAAAAACTTATTAATGACAACTCTGTTGGGGCAGGGGTAGGCTAGAATCTTAAACTACAGTACTTAAATGTGTACATAGTATATAAATCAACAAAGGCCGAACACTGTATCTCATCTTTCCTTATGTAAGGCTAGGACTTTGTACTTCAATACTTTGTCCTCTGTACCATAACAGAAAAAGTACTCATTATATATAAGACATATACACACACACACACTCATATATAAGACATGACATTTGTCTTTGGTATCTTCTACCCTCAGCTCCCGCTAAAATGAAACTTGCTGTTAAGAGCATATATTAGGGGGGCGCCTGGGTGGCTCAGTTGTGAAGCGTCTGCCTTCGGCTCAGGTCATGATCCCAGGGTCCTGGGATCGAGCCCCGCATCGGGCTCCCTGCTCAGCAGAGAGCCTGCTTCTCCCTCTCCCACTCCCCCTGCTTGTGTTCCCTCTCTTGCTGTCTCTCTCTGTCAAATAAATAAATAAACATCTTTAAAAAAAAATTTTTTTTTAAAAAAAAGAGCATATATTAGGAATCAATGAAATGCCTCAGATATAAAATATATAGCAATTCATGAATTATTAATACCCTCAAATTATCCCCGAAGGCGAATTTTCTTTCTCCTTACAAACAGGATCAGCTGTAAAAGTTGAATAAAAATAGTTAATAAATACTATTCGGGGGGGGTGCGCCTGGGTGACTCAGTCGTTGAGCATCTGCCTTCAGCTAGGTCATGATCCTGGGGTCCTGGGAACGAGCCCCGCATGGGGCTCCCTGTCCGCCGGGGAGCCTGTTTCTCCCTCTCCTGCTCCCCCTGCTTGTGTTCCCTCTCTCGCTGTGTCTCTGTCAAATAAAATCTTTGAAAAGGAAAAAAAAAAAATTTGCAGACTTCATTGAAAAAAAAAATACTACTCAGGGCGCCTGGGTGGCTCCGTCGTTAAGCGGCTGCCTTCAGCTCAGGTCATGATCCCAGAGTCCTGGGATCGAGCCCCACATCGGGCTCCCTGCTGAACAGGAAGCCTGCTTCTCCCTTTCCCACTCTCCCTGCTTGTGTTCCCTCTCTCGCTGTGTCTCTGTCAAATAAATAAATAAAAATATTAAAAAAAATACTATTCAATGAATTGAACTTTTACATAGACATTTGTGTGTGCACTTGTGTGTCTGCATGCACACACACGCACAGACACACACACCAAAGGAGACTTAAGGGAACAAAGGAAAAGTCTTAGTTTCCAGAAACAACTGTTATTAACTATTCCAACATGCCCAGCTATAACCCTGCCACCCACTGCCTACCAAACAAAAGAATTCATGATCTCTCTCTTATTCTAACAAGAATCCGTTGGTCAAAAACCAGCTCTCCAAAACTTAGTTCATCAAATGACCAACTGAAAAACAGATTTTTAGTACACTATTTGAACACCATTACATTTATGAAGAATCTGCAGAGTTCTTGGTTCACTAAACTCATTTCCAATTTTTAGCATCCGTTAACAACCTTGCCTTTACAGTTGACTTATTTTTTTAAGTAGGCTCCAGGCATAGTGTCCCCCAGCCCTACCCCCAGCTGGCCCACTCTCTTAAAAAGAACCTCAACTCTAAAAATGCGTTTAGTAATCTTAATTTTAGTAAAAAATAAACAAAAAGGCATAGTTATTTTCAAACTGTGGTACTAAGCACACAAATTTTTTTCTTAAAAAAAAAAAGCGCTTCCTATTCTGCCTGAAAACTAGAGAGAAGCAATTAAAATTGAATAATAAACACTCCTGATATACAGTGGCTTCTATATAATTCCCATTATTTCAGTAATTGGCAAGTCGAGATTTAGGTCAAGAAATATATCAAATCACCTGGAATATCTTGTGGTGCCAGAAAGAAAGGATGCAATGAAATTATAAGACTAAGGTCTCAAGGACACAGGTTACACTGGCCACAGATGAAATATTTTGAGCTGTAAAACAGGATATGGAATGTACTACAACACACCAATTTAAATTATTAGAGGTATTAATATTATGGGAGCACCTTTCTGGCTCAGTCAGTACAGCATGTGACTCTGATCTAGGGGTTTTGAGTTCAAGCCCCATGATGGGAAAGAGCTTATAGAACTTACTAAAAAAAAAAAAAGCTAGGCAACCCCCTCAGGTCCTTTCCCTCCTTGGGAGCTTTGTACTATCACTTTGCTATCGCTCAGAAAACCTTTGCTGCCCACCCCCCCCCCACCTAAAGACTTTCCATAATGAATGGTATTTCAGAAAAAGCAAATATTAATGAGTTGTTCATTTTAGAAAAGTTATGCAGAAGGAAATTAGAAATCCACTCTACTGCAACCCCTAATGAAATACCTAATCAATGATCATCAATGGATGATCACCATTAAGGTGAAAAATTGATGGGAAACTTTATCACGGATGGATCAAGATCGAAAACCTGAATCCAAATTATCCTTAACATCACTAAAAATGGGCAACCACGTTAGGTTGTAATCATGTTAGGTATGATACAATATAAAATGCGTTAACATTATCCACTGTAATTGAGTCAAGCCTCTAGATCTGCACAGTCCAATATAGTAAGCTGCTAGACACAAGTCTGAATTCAGATGCATTTTAAGTATACATGTTTATATTTCTACTGGACAGCACTGCTTTAGATCTAGCATTATTACACAAAACAGAGGCAGAGAAGAACAAATTAAATGACACCACAAAGAATCAAATCAGTACACAGTATGGAAGACATTGAGGCTTTCTTCAACAAATTAAATGTCACAAATTTTTTAAACGAGAAAGGAAGGGATGGGGAAACTCAGATTTAAAAGACATAAGGGGCAATTAATCAAACGCATATGTGGACATAGATTGGATCTTGATTTAAAGTTTGAGACAATAAAGGAATCTAAATATGGATTAAATATTTGACAGTATTAAGGAATTACTGTGAGGTTTTTTTAATACGTGGTAAGAGCAGTGTGGTTTGCATTTTGTTAAACGTTCTTATCTGGTTGGATATATGCTGATGTCTTAAAATTACTCTAAAAATTTAAAAGAAAACCAATAGAAACAATAGATTAAAACAAATTAAATACTAGTTTATCTGTTAAACTAGGTGAGATGTGGGGTGCCTGGGTGGCTCAGTTGTTAAGCATCTGCCTTCGGCTCAGGTCATGATCCCAGGGTCCTGGGATGGAGCCCCACATTGGGCTCCCTGCTCAGCGGGAAGTCTGCTTCTTCCTCTCCCACTCCCCCTGCTTGTGTTCCTTCTCTCGCTGTGTAAAATCTTTTTTTTTCCCGCTGTGTAAAATCTTAAAAAAAAAAATAAACTAGGTGAGATGTACTTACACACATTCATTAAATTCTTCTACTTTTGTTAGTAAATTTCCATGACAGTTTTAAAAAAACCAAGTATCAGAAAAACCCGTCTTGATTTTATGATGCAAAACTGTTTTAGTTCATTTTCGCTGCAGCCATTTTACAGATGCCATTTTATACATGTGTTTTCCTGTACTTCGGATATAGGACAAATGGGTATGAAAATTTCTTATGTATTCTCAATTACAACTATTCTATGTATCTTCAATGTCAAGGATTACAAGGCTAACTTCTAATATTTTTCCTTCCCAATCTAGTATGGCTAGGATTTTTAAAAATAGTATTTAAGAAGTGTTTACAAATTACACAAAACTTTTATTCTAGGATAAAAGAGCTCTTCATGAAAGAGCCACTGAGAAACCATAATCAAACTTTCAAAACAGTATAAAAAGTGAGGGGCACCTGGGTGGCTCAGCCAGTTAAGCATCCACCAACTGTTGGTTTTGGCTCAGGTTATGATCTCAGGGTTATGAGATGGAGCCCCGTAGGACATCGTGCTCCGTCCTCAGGGGGGAGTCTGCTTCAGATTTTCCCCCTTTCCCTCTGCCCCCTCACCCTCTCGAAAATAAAATAAAGAGGGAGCCTGGGGAACTCAAGTTAAGTGTCTGCCTTCGACTCAGGTCATGATTCCAGGGTCCTGGAATGGAGACCCACATCTGGCTCCCCCTGCGCTTGTGCTGTCAAATAAAATAAAAAAATCTTAAAAACAAAACAAAATAAAATCTTAGAACAGCTGCTCCTGCTATGAAGAATAATGCTGTTTACTACAAGAATGGAGCTGTCACTTATTAAAAAAAAAAAAAAACTGTTGAAACGTTACAGTAACTCATGTTATGTAAGAAGTATTAAATGCTACAAACATTATGAAATGCTCAAGTTTTGTGTAGTACTGTTAGGAAACACCAACATGGAAACACTTAAGGGGACAAAAATACACTGCAACCTGAAGAGAGGAAGCCAGGTAGAAAATAAAACATTGAAGGTGGAATTAAACTTGAACATTATGCATTTAAAAAAACCAAATACAAACTCCTGAATATGCTGAAAACAAAATGAAAATTTAAGTAAGCCACCACAGGAATAATCAGAAAACTCTCAATTAAAAAAAGTCTCAATTATGAATTGCTATAAACTTTATATATCTATAGTAATTTTGTTTAACTGCTAAGCAATACCTTATCAACAATGGAACTAGCCATTCTTTGGCACTCAAGATGTCTGTGTGCTTATTCCCTCTTATTCGTAAAAAGCAAAAAGAAAGAGACTTTTGTCTTACAAACCTTTCAGCTTCCCTAATATTCACACCCAGGAAAATATAAGCTATATAAAATTAACTATGATTCTGACAACAAATCAGAACTGATCTGCAACTGATACGTAGTTAGAAGACTATTCAAGGAGATGAAATCCTACAATCAGGAACATACTTATGTTAGCTCTAAGTCTTAATATGTAATGAGATCTTCTAAAGATTAGAATATAAACATCTGAGCAGAGCTCAGATCTCATCTTTCAAACATTTGAACATGGTAGATCAGGAGACCCCTTCTTGGGGAAACTAACAGCTAAAACAAAACCAGTTTGTACTGCTAATGCTAAAACATATGCAACAGTTAAGTAGCTTTTATTGAGTGTAACATGCTAAACTTTTATTAGAAGCTTCTCATGAATCATCCTAATTAATCCAAATTCTTGGTAACTCTGAAGTACTATTACCTCAGGTTAAGAACAGAAAATAGACTTACGTACTCTACCTCCATTTTAACAGATGAGAAGAAGGCTCAGCCAAATTATGTAGACTGCCTAACACAGAGTTGTGCGAAGCAATCTGACTCCACAGCCCATGAGTGACTAAGCTATATTGTCTTTGCCATTTTACTGTCAGCGGGAGGACAGCTATTTAGGCAGCAACTATACCTGACGTAGTATTATCATTCCTATCCTCCTGACCTTACTCAAGACCAGCAACTCGTTATCCAGTTTCTGCTACACAAAAAGGAGTAAAATCCTTATTTAGCCAATTATACCTATAACCTAACATTTTTTTACTTAGCTAAATGGAGAGAGAGAAAAACAGAAGCATGAGCAGGACAACCTTGTATCTCAATTAATAGTCAATGAAGAAATTCAACCCAGATCTTACCTAAAACCTGGCCAGCAATCATTCTGCCATCCTCTCCTGCCACAGCAGCCCGGGCATTTCTCTCATTAACATACTGAACGAAGGCAAAGCCCTTATGGACAGAGCAACCAACAATTTTGCCGTATTTTGAGAAGATTGCCTCCACATCAGATTTCTTGACCACAAGAGTATTGAGATTCCCAATGAATACACGGGAGTTCATGGAGCGAGGATCTGTCTTGTTGGTAACATTGCTGGCCATTTTCTTTGATGATAAGGTTCCTCACAAAGCCGAAAAACTAGAAGGAAAAAAAAAATGCATTCAGGTGGGGAAAAAAAAGATAAAATCAAAATACTCGATAAAACTTTCTACTCTTTATTTTGAACCACTGTGACTAACTAGAGTGTCAGTCAACATAAAGGGCTCTCACAGTAGCAAGTACATTACTATTTTAGAGGAGAGCTCCTGAATATATGCATCCTTATACAAATTCAGCTCCATCTTCCCTAGTCTATTCCATCAGCGCTAGACCACCATTTCACGGGCCAGTGGGTGGGGAAGACTACTAGCAACACAATTAAGGACATTATTCATTTCAAGTGAGCCCTCTCTATTCTGAAGTCCTCAAGCAATTTAGAACCCCTTAAGCTCTCTACCACCTTTTCATTATATTTTTAACCTTCCCTGTCATACTAACCTAACCATTCATCAAGAACTCCACTTTCTTACACATTGCTATTATTAAAATGAGGCTCACCTATTCCAAAGATATACAAAACTCCAAATTCTGCGCACAAACCATTCTTTAGCTCAATTTGTTCTACACTCTCCCTTTCAAGTATAATTAACTTTATTATACTAAGGCAATATATACACCCAAATCATTCACTCTGGAAATATTTACTTCTGGTACATTAATTGATTTATAATATGCCAGAGATACCTTAAGTAACAATACCATCATATTATAGAATGCAATGACTCTTGACCTACTTTTTATGTGATAATCTACAAAATACAGCTAGGATATTTGTTAATACTAGATGGTGATGATGATAAAACTAGCAGGTAAAACACTGCATGAATCAAAGAGGACCAGGAGAACTAAGAAGAGTACAACTTTCCTCAGACTGTTTCAAAACAAAAAATCATTTTCTATGTATATGAAGGTTCAGTCATAATTACGTGAAGATTCATGATACTATCATCTTTTAGGTCTTTTCAAGTGGAAACATTTTGACATTCTTTTGAGTTTTTGTATCTGCTGCTCCTTCCCACTCCAACTACCAAAACTAAACAACAGGGTTTAAGACAGGCCCGCATTCATAAGATTTATTTCCCATTCATCCCTTTGACACTCAAATCAGATACCAGTGTCTAGTATGTTATCTTTCCAATCCCCAGAAAAATGACAAAGTAGTTCATGGATTATGTAAAAATATCTTCTATATACATATATATGTGACAAAAGAGGTAGCATTAACATCATTTATACAGATACTAATATTCTGATCCTTAAAACACCTACTCATTTCACAACTAGTACCTAGATTTTTTAAAGCTGTTAACAACTGCTTTTCCCTCCCCTAGCCTTTCTAAAATTCAAGAAATTGTCTTTACTTGATTTTGGTTTCTGAATTATAGCTTTACAAACAATAGTTCTTAATTTTTTAAGACTAAGCAATAAAAATTTACCAAACAGTAGCACAGTCACCAACACTCTTTCAACTCTAAGTATGAGTCCCAGAAAGCATCTTTAGAATGCCAAAAAAAAAAATGTAGTGAAAGGCCTAACTGGTTTCAAATATTACTTGCTGGTTATTAAGGTATACTATTATTTTAAGTGGGGAGAACTTAAGCCAGTTTTCTATGAATATTTTCACCAAAAATAAACATATATTCTACATATTACAGTAAATAATAGTAAGTATAGGAAAAATCTTCCTAGGATGAATTAGCAATTACCTGTTAGGGGAAAAAGGATGGTTCTACATGACATCAGGAAACTGAACAAGAGTGTAAAACACCAGACAATAATGTCCTCTTCAAATATACTCCTTGGAACCACAGAACGGAAATCGATTTAGGTGACTATTTTCTCACTTTTTACAAAGATGGTACATAGCTAGTACCAATCTAGAAGTAGACAATTCATTACATATAAAGAATGCCTTAGGATAATAAGGATTAATACCCATGGAACTCCATTTGGAAAGGCTGGTAAAGAAACATCCAGATACACAAGTAAAAAGGTGCTAACAATGGTTGCCATCTCTGAATTTAAGTATATAATTTAATCTGTTTTCTCCAATTCTATGTGGTTACTAAATTTGCTACAGGAATCATGAATTGTTAACAGAAAAATAATACTGACTTCAACCTCAAAAGCTGGGCTAAAGTCAATGGAATAGCTTTCAATGCCCATACTTAATCTAAGGATTTAATCACGATCTGAGCAACAGTAAAAACAAGTGAACCCACAAAGGTCCATTAATCCTGCTCCAAGGAACACATCTTCTAAAGAATTACTACAAATTTAAACATTTTTTCACTGAACATTTATTATGTTAAGTACTAGGTACCAAGGCTACCTCAGAGAAAAAATAGGAAGAGACAGGATTCCTCTGAGTTTACACACTAATGATACCACTGTTTAAAGTTTTATTGAAGAGGGAACATATTTCCCAAATTTTACAAATAACCAAATGAGCTTAGGTCACATTTCACCCTACCTCTGATCATTAAGGTACCTTACCCATGAAATCTCTGCTGGGGGGGGAGGTGTAAAATGGTCAGTATCCTAAATGCAAAGAAACTATTGTGGGCCGGGGAAACCCCTGGGTTTCCTAGAAGAAAATAGCAACAGCAAAGCAGTTTTTGAACCTTTCTGAATCCCCACATAAAAGCAACCAAGCAAAAGTAAGCTTGGGTGTCAAAGAACCCCAAGGGTACTCATAAAAACATCCTAAGATGCCAGAGCAGCTTAGGCTCTAAAATCTCAAAACTCAGAGCCCGACGTGCAGCATTCCATTCTTAAAACCTTTCCAACCCCCAAAAGTTAACTATTATTCTAACTTTATAGTAATCACTTTAATTTTACTTGTGAGAGAGGGAGCAAGCGCATGAGCAGGGGGAGGGGCTCAGCAGGGAGAGAGATGAGGAACTCGATTCCAGGACCCTGAGATCATGACCTGAGCCCAAGGCAGACACTTATCCATCCGACTGAGCCACCCAGGCACCCCTTTTATGGCTCCTTTTAGATGGGTTTCCCTTCCATCCCTTTAAATTCGACTTTATTCTTTGAAGAATACAGGGTACTTGACCTGAAGTTTCCCAGTCTGGATTTTCCAATTTCTTACTCTTAGTACAATTCCACAGATTCTTCTGTTTTTTCCTGAAATTGGAATCTGGGACCAAAGACTATCAGATCCACGTGTGAATCTTCTGGAAGACTATATAAATGACGGGCGCCTGGGTGGCTCAGATGGTTGGGCGTCTGCCTTCGGCTCAGGTCATGATCCCGGGGTCATGGGATCGAGCCCCGCATCGGGCTCCTGGCTCAGCGAGGAGCCTGCTTCTCCCTCTGCCTCTCTCCCTGCTCATGCTTTCTCTGTATGTGTCTCAAAAGAATAAATAAAAAAAAGACTATATAAATGATACTGTCTTTTTGTGGTTATTAATGCTTAAATTGTACATCTTAAATATTATAGTATCTTACGTTTATCTCTATTACTTAGAACAAGTTTCTCTTGCATGTTGGTTAACAGTTTGCCTGTGCCCTCTTATTTCTAGAGTCGGTTCTAAGTTGGTTTTGCTGGGTATAAAATTTAGCATTGCATTTTCTTTCTTTAAATGTCATTATTCTATTTACTTCCAAACTGTTAAGTGTCTGTCACAGGGTCATTCCAAATTGTAAACCTTGCTGGCAAAATTGTTTTTACAGGCTTTAGTAGTTACAGGGTTTTTGCTTTATGCTCAGTGGAGTCTTTTCTCCCTCTCTCCCTCTGCCTCTCCCCCTGCTTGAGCTCTCTCAAATAAATCTTTAAAAAAATTTACAAGTAAAAAAAATAAATTTCAGAAGAAAACGGGTTAACTTTTGCTTTTTACCTTACCTCTGTAGCGTATTACATTCTACATGCATTTTTAATTTTTAACAACCTGGTATTCTAATTACCAACAATTGCAGTCTTTAGAATAATCTGCTAATCACTTTAGGGGCACCTGGTTTCCTCAGTCAGAACATGTGCTTCTTAATCTCAGGGTTGTAAGAGATTACTATATAAAAAAATAAACTACAAATCACTTAATGTGGGAATTACGATTAAATGTTTAGTCAAAGGGTGCCTGGGTGGCTCAGATGGTTGAGTGTCTGACTCTTGGTTTCAGCTTGGGTCATGATCTCGGGGTTGTGGGATTTAGTCCCTCGTTGGAGTCTGTGCTTGGTGGGGAGTATGCTTAGGATTCTCTTCCCATCTCCCTGTGCCCGCCCCCACACCCTGTGCATGCATAATCAAGCTGTCTCTAAAATAGATAAATAAATCTTTAAATAAATGTTTAAGGCAAAAGCAGTATTACAGTTGTTCAATAACAGGAGACATATACAAACTATTCACATAAAAATCATACTTAGGAAAGAGCAAGACTCTGCTTTTGGTTAATCCTTATCACCTACAGTTCTTCAATAAGTCCAGTTCCTCAAACCAGTTTATAAATTCCACCACCAGAAGTTTCTGGCACGTTCTAAACACTCAATATTTCCTCACAAAATTAGTCCAGTCATATCAAGTTTTCTCAGAGAAAACATTTTTTCAAGTTTTTTTTTTAAAGATTTTATTTATTTGACAGAGACATAGCAAGAGAGGGAACACAAGCAGGGGGAGTGGGAGAGGGAGAAGCAGGCTTCCTGCAGAGCAGAGAGCCCGATGTGGGGCTCGATCCCAGGACCCTGGGATCATGACCTGAGCCGAAGGCAGACACTTAACAACTGAGCCACCCAGGCGCCCCCATTTTCTCAAGTTTTAATGTTAATTCCAGTTAATATATTAGTTCCAGGTGTTAACAGAAAAATCATTTTTTAAGGAAGTTTATGTACTATGCACGTAAGTAATCTCTACACCCAATGTGGGACCTGAACTCATCCCAGAGAACAAGAGTTGCCTTTCTTCCAACTGAGCCAGCCAGATGCCCTAAATTTTAAGTCAAATTCATTCTTCTTCTACACAGAATAAAAAGTTTCTTTCCTAAAATTGCTTTCAATAAAGAGAAAAATCAAGAGAGTAGATTTCTGGGGCACCTCGT